TACCGAGACGAGGGTCAAAAATCGCCTTCGCTACTTCTCTAGCTCTGGTTTCTGCGCACACAGCTAAAAAAAACGATCCCCGATTGACCTAGAAGCCGACGAGTGGCATTGATTACCAGATCACCTCCTATGGCTAAGGGCGGTGGTAAAAACAAGGGTCGCGTCAAGTCCAAAAAAAAAAACTAAAAAACTTCACGACTTCTCTTCTCGAGAGAGAAGGATGCACGTTTGCCTATGCAGCGACGGCTGGGCGCGCACGCAAGGCTGCCGAGAAGGCCGACTACCCTAACCTGAAGCGTACGGCCGCTGCTACCCTCGAGAAACTCAAAAAAGCTCAGTTGGCGAAGCGTAGGGAGGCTCGAGTCCGCAAATCGGCGGAGCAGGCCGCAGAGGAGGAGCGACAATTGCTGGCGCGAGAGCGAGTCCTGCGCGCCGATCTGAAGGAGCTTGGGGAGGAGCAGCGACGTAGAATCGAGGCGGAGCAACGGGCGCAAGCAGCGATCGCACGCGAGCAGGCCTCGGAGCATCAGAGGCAGCAGCAGAGGGCTGCTGATGGAGAGGCGGTGGCGAACGTCCTGACCCAGCTGGGAAACTTGCGGTTGGAGAATAAAATGCTTCAAGATCAACAGCGCGAGATGGTTGAGATTTTTTGTCCACAAGCGGCAAGCGTGATGGCGGTGCAGCAACAGCAGCACAACGGGAATCCGCTGCTTTCCGCGAAAGACCAGCTCATCCGCACCCGGATGGAGGTAGAGCAAGCGAGGAGGGAGCTGGAGGCGGCGTCGGCGTGGGGAAGGTTGCCGAGACGAGAAATGCTAATTTGAGGAAAAGGTGCGTGCGTGCGTGTGTGTGTGTGTGTTTGTGTGCCTGTGTCTTTGCCCTCGTGCGTTTTTAGCCTTGCTGTTCCCTTCAAGTGCGACTACTTCATATGCCTCCGAGTCCTACAGGTTGATAGAACCAACATAAGCAGGAGGATACCAAGAGAGGCAGGCGAAGCTGCATGCAGCTGCTATCATCGACAGACTTGGTGTTGAATGCGAGAAAATACGGCAGGAGCAGCAGCAGCGCGCATTTTTTTTGTTTTCCCGCTCTCACAACCGCCCTGCTGTTTGCCCGTTGGCCTTTTTCTTTTTTTCGGCAGAGCGGGAAAGGATGTACCACGCCATACCTAGCCAAGCAACCAGGTGCGGGTTCTCCCATTCGTGCCAGGAGCCCTTTCCAAGGGGGCCCATGAAGAACTCACTCTCCATGCCCGCGTTGACGGCAAGGTGGAGGACGTGCAAAAAGCACCCAAGGCGGACCGCGAAAATTTGCTGGGCAACATAGGTCATTTCTTCGTCAACCTCCATGGAATCGGGCGGGTCCGCCGTCGAAGCGGGCGGGTCCGCCGTCGAACCGGTGGGGTCCGCCATCTATGACCGGTCGGGCTGTGGGGTACTGGCTTTTTGTGTGTGCCAGCAGCCTCAGTGAGCGCAGTGACGGGTGTCCACCTCGCGCATTGCTGCGTGAACGCGCTTGACCATATTTGTCCAGTCTGTTCGTGTGTGTTCGTGTGTCTTTTTATTTTGATTCAAATTCCAAACGTTTTTATTGGTCCAAGAAGGAAAAGCGCAGTCTATTTGCCACGAAAAGTTCACCCGGTTTGGGACACATTCTTGGCCTCAAAATAGGGGTAACCCCAGGGTCTAACTCTACCCTCCTCATCCTCTGTGGGAGGTAGAGAGGGGGGGGGGCTCACGGCCTCTATTTTTCAGGGGGGGTTCGGGAACTGGTTGGGGGTCGGTTCTATGTGTACTGCATCCTCGAATTGTCCCCTCACTATAGCTACTGTGGATTTTCAGTACACAGCTATCCTTACTCAACGCGTCTATGTGTCCGGCAATCTCCAATACAAATCAACCTGTGAGGTTTCA